CGTCATCATGATTTCTCTGAAATAATATTTTTATGTCAGCAAACAAATTTGCGATTAAAGTGAATGATCCAGATTCATGTTAACCTTTTGTAATTTGTGTTCCTCTTGATCGATTTGTCTTGCCAGGTTGACTCTCTGCTTCATTGAATTAATTATTCCGGCATCGATGGGGAAATCCGGAATGCCGTCAACTATTCCGCGAAAATAAAGGAATAAAGTTTAAAAAAATTTTTTTAATAAATCCGTTCCCCCAAAAATTCGACACGGAATGAGATTGTTACCTTTTTTCAGTTTATGGAGAATCTTTCTATACAAGGACGACTCGTCCGGACTGCATAACATCAAACTGATACCTTCCCTGCGCGCACGAGCCGTACGACCGCTCCTGTGAACATATATCTGAAAAATTTACAATTAGACAAAATCACCATGGTTTGGATAAAAAATTCCGATACTATGTGATAACTAATTACATCTCCTGAACGCGGCAATTGATAGTGTATCACGTGATAAACGAGAGGAATATCCAGTCCGCGAGCAGCCACGTCACTGGCAACCATAACGGCATTGGGGTTTTGCTTGAAACTTGTGAATAAAAATGTTGACCACACGCTTGTTATGCAGATATGTGTAAAAATTTATTTGCGGTATGAGTAATTATTTTTGTCTTTTACCGATCCAAATTCTTCAGTCGTTGTCTTTGCTGCATTTGTGCGTGCAGACCGTAAACCTCGATGTTCAATAACTTCATTATAGGGATAAGTCGACGTATGGCATCGATGCTGTTGACAAATATGAGGGTCCGACCGGGATATCTCGTAATGAAGTAATACACATATAAATCCTTGATATTTACCGGAAAATTAGTATCAACTCGATCATTGAATTATGAATCATTTCAACGATGTCGATATCGAACCTTGTCCTTGGTCAGGCACTCAATCTTTGATTCTTGGAGACCTTTCACGACAGATTCCTCTGGTGTAATGTCTATGAATACAGGATCGGGATCGCTGAATTCCAATCTTTGCATCAGCTCGGCTTTTCAAAGCGTCACACGAAGAAAATTTAGTGCAACGTAAAAAAAACCGACAATCCATAATTAATTATATACCCATTGTTCCCTTGGACCCGGCCTCTATTTTTCTAAGCTTGTGACCTCTTCGTTTTAAATTTTCTTTCAATTTACTATCCAAGGTGGCAGAAAATACGAACGTCTGACGCGGTAGTGAAGGGTCTGAAAATGGGGAGTTTTCCAATAGAATTAATATTAAGGCGAAATTTGATGAAATGGTATATAATTTCACGCGTACCCCGCGTGCCCTCTGACGACGTCTTATCATCATTCCATTCACTTGTGTTTCTAAATATTTTTCTGTGCGTCAATATCGATCTCATTTTTTTCAAAAAAAAAAAAAAAAAAAAAAAATCGAAACATGCGAACTCACTGTCGATTTCTCGACAAAATGGTGAGAATGTGATCCAATTCTTTGAAATGACCGGTCTCGAGCATTCGGTCCGCTTCATCTAATACCAGATGTTTGACGTGACGAATATTCCGGAGATAATCGTCATTCTACATTGAGTCAAAACAATTAAAACTCTTTTCCGATGTTATTCGTATGCATCCAATGTCAGTAGGGTCAAATCGCCCAGGCCATTCTACCTCTGAAAGTAGTTCCCACAATCGACCAGGCGTTGCAACGATTATATCGGGCATTTTTTCAAGTAATCGTTTTTGTTTTTGTACTGCCATTCCACCTACGATAGCCATTACCTGCAATGACAAGTTACCTCATTATTATTAAAAAAACTAGCTCCTAGTGATAACACTTCAATAAATCAATTTTTCAGTGTTGACTCTCACCTTCACGGCGCCAAACTTACCAATATTAACGAGGTGATCCTTAATTTGTATCGCCAACTCCCTGGTAGGCGTTAAAACAAGCCCTGATAATTGATTCTTGATATTCAATTCCCTGTTCTTAATGATATGGTTCAAAATTGGGATGCCAAAGGCGAGTGTTTTTCCGGATCCCGTTTCCGCAGAGCCAACAACATCCCTCCCGGACAGACCGGCAGGGAGTGCCTTTTCTTGGATGGGAGTTGGTTCAATAAATTTCAGAAACTTTAACCCATTCAGGATATCAGGTGAAAGATTGAACTTGTCCCACGCGTCTATTGAGACATGAAGTAGTGTAAACAACAAGTATTTTTACGCATGGCTCAAATTACAAATTGAATTCACGTACCTAAATTAATATTCTCAGATTCCTTATTCATCGACTCGACCGCGGTATCTACCTGTCCATCATCTCGGTCACTCCTTTCCTTCACATCCATATCACCAGCATCAAGATCGACTTCATTCTGTGAAGCATCACCTTCATCACTCTCCGAATTCTCCGCCGATTGAATGTCAGATCGCGATTCTGATTCTTCGGTGCTGGTATCTATTAATTTACCTTCATCAAAGGTATCCAAATCGTGATATTTTAACATTTCATCAGCAGGAAATGGTTCTTCGGGTTTGGCAGGCGGATTCTTTTTTCTCTTTTTGGAAGATCGCTGATCACCGTGGGTTTTCTATTTCGTTTATTGCACTTCTTGGTCAAAGAATATTTAATCGACCGTTTGTACAAAAAGACAACCAAGTGTCTAACCTTAAATTTAATTGTATTTCCTTTGGTGTCAGTCTCTTCATATTCGATATGAACACCATCGACCTCTTCCAAACACAGGAAACCACCTAGATCATCTTCGTCCGCTATGAACATCGAATCTGGAACTGTCACCTCGGACCAATCGAGGTCGTTGATTCTCAAAAAATCACTGTCATCCTTCTTTCCTTC